ATTAATTTTTTAATGAATCTGTTTTTAAAAGTTAGCCAATGTATGTACAAACAACCAAATGAGCCCTAAGTTCAACTGTACCAAGAAAAATCTTCAGTTTTTCTGAGGAAAAGGAAGGCAGCATTACCTCTAAGAAACGTTTCCTGGCTTCATCAACTCCATAAATTTGAGCTTCACAGAGGAAGCACCAAATGGACTCCTCAGTATCATTTGGATTCTCTGCAACATCCAACCTGAATTGATCTGCCCCTTCTGCAAATCTTGGAGAAAAAACCACGGCAAGATCACAATCCATGATTCTTTCACCAAACCAAAATCAATCTTTAAGAAGAAGAAGAAGAAGAAGCTTTGTAATACCTATTCAAATAGTATAGAGAAAGCCCCCTCTGCCAAAGATCTATGATTTAATGCTAACTTTTAGAAATTTTTTACCATCCAAAAGGAATCCAGTTAAGAATGGACAGAAATTTAAGACGTGTCCTTGAATTTCCAAGAAAAAAATCGACTTACAGGCCTTCTGACGAGGGTCTAGCACTATTGCACGATCAAACTCGGCCAATGATTCGCTTACATTTCCCTGCAATAAATTTTCTCGCAAATTTAGAAATGGCTGAGGGCTTAGAGCTGGGACAAGGGGTAGGCGGCGATGTGGCCTTTACCTGCCGGAACAGAAGCATCCCACGGCGAATGGCGGTTGAGGAGGCGCGGGCGGGCCCTCCGGTACCTCCGGTGAGTGCATCCCACATAGCGTAAGCCGATACAAGGAAGAGGCGTCGAGGTACCGTTGCGACCGTCGTCGACCGGAGAGCCCAAGAGTCTAATGTTCTCAACGGCAGTACGCTTGAAGGCAGAAGATTGGAGTCAGCCGTCAAGAAGCTCGCCGGAGTAGATGTGAGAAGACATTGGGAGCTTGGCATTGGACGGGATGAAAATAAGATATTGTTTTTTTTTTTTTTTTTGGGAAAATTTGGGGCCTAAGCCCATATATTAGATGAAAATAAAGTTACAGGTAAAAAAATAAAAGGATAACAAGTAAAAACTATCCAACATAAGCAAAAAACAAAAACTTATGTGGATCAAAACAAAACAAGAAACCCCAACTATACCACCCATAATATTTTAAGTTCTATAAAAAGAACCAAAACAGTGACTGGAGCTCAAAAAGAACTGGAAGGTAAGCAGCAGGTGAACTTCTTGAGAGAAATACATTTTACATGCGATGAGCGCCTGCACCAAATGACCAAGTGTCAACAGCAATGAAATTACTAAACCCCGCTCCCAATCCTCCGACCAGATAGGCGAACAAGGACCAAACCATACAAAGCCAGCTCTAGAGGAAACAACCTGCATCACCAAAAGAAGACAAACATGGCATGCCCCCAATCCATCATGCCTGGACTCAGATTAAATACAAAAACACCAACTGGATAACTTCCCTGGTTGCCCAAATAGGCCGTCCAAGGGAAAGCATAGGGGGTTTCATCATTGCCCAGACAAGGCCAATCGAATTCCAGCAAAAATGCAGCGAAGTTAACAGCACCCCGAGCAGCAGCATTCATCACAAACGATCCAGCAAATCCATAGAATTCCCCCATCTCATAACTTTCTCAAAAATAACTCTTTTAATAGATAATAAAAGAGAAGTATAGCACAAAAATTTGTTCCCAAAACGCCTATTGTTCCTCTCCTTCCAGATGAAGTAGATCGCACAGCAACATATCAAATTGTAAAATTTAAGAGTCACAGGACACCCTTTAAATACACCCTTCAGCCAATCCAAAACCTGCAATATATTGGGCCGAAGGAGAAAAGTATGCATGCCTGGTATTAGAGCATAGATGATATTATAGGAATAGCTACATTCAAAGAATAAATGTGATACAGATTCATCATGCTCGTTGCAAAGATTGCAAGTCTTTGGAACCTGGATGTTCCTAATAAGAAGTGCATCAGCCGTCTTAAGGCCCCCACGTATTGCAAGCCAAACAAAAACCGAATATTTGAGAGAGTGCCTTTTGTGCCACACCATGTTATACCAATTGCAATCAGATATCTCCTCATAGTACTCATCTAAAAAAAGTTTGAATTTGAAAATATATTTGTTTTTCCAGAGCAGACAAGAACCAGCACAGCCAATTTCAGAAATATTATCTAAGACATCCCGCAACCGTTGAGGGAAAGACTCAGGAATCTGCCAGCCATTACCAGAGATAATATCTTTCAACATATGATTAGGCAAAGTAGCAGGTAATTCACCCCCAATAAGTTCTTGAATTGTGCCGTTATTATACCAGTGATCCCAAAAAATAGATATAGGAGCATTTTGCGTGATTTTGAAGTTAAAGCATGCCTTAGCCCTCTGAGCAGTAATACAGATTTCTTTCCAAAATTTAGAGGCAGAGGCAGCAGGAGGTTTCCATGGAGAGCAATATTTCATAAAAACCCAATCAGCTAAAGGGGAGGAGCAATTATAAATCCTTATTATCACTGAACAGTTGAATGCAAATTGAAGAGCGGAGATAGAAGGCAATCCCAAACCCCCTTTACACTTAGGTAGGCAAATATTTTTCCAAGCAACCATATGTAACTTCCTAGAATTGTTGATATCACCAAAGAATAAAAACCTAGAACTGGTTTTTATATACAGATTATGGACAGATTTCGGTAAAATGGCACCACGAATCCAATAAGCAATGGTATTTTGAATAGTGAACTTCAGGTATTGAAGTCTACCCGCAAAAGACTAAAGGTTAGCCTTCCACCCATTTAACTTTTTATAAAGACTGTCCATCAGGGGCATGAAATCTTCAATTTTAATCTTGTAAAAAGATAAGGGGATCCCCAAATACGTGATTTTAGAGACAATGTTATGTATAGAAAGAGCTTGACATATTTCCAGTTGCTTGCTTTGGTGTTTAGGAAACATGATGACACATTTTTCATAATTAACATGAAGACCCGTTGCATTGGCAAAATCTCCTAAAATGGATACCAAATTATGACAGTTTTCTATAGTAGCCTCTCCAAAAATAAGAACATCGTCTGCGTAAAGAAAATGGGAGAGGGAGAAATTCCCAAAAGAGATACCTTTGAAGTTTCTAGCTTCTAGCAAATTAGAAAGAGCATCCATGATAAGACAGAAAAGATAAGGACTTAAAGGGCATCCCTGCCTAAGGCCAACAGTTGGAAGGGAAGTACCCCTCCAAAGCACCATTTAGAACAATAGAGAAATTTACATCTAAAATACATGCCTTTATCCAGCTCACAAACTGCCTGGGAAAACATTTTTGGGAAAGCCTAGCAAGCAAGAATTCTCGAGAAACAGAGTCAAAAGCTTTCTTTATGTCTAATTTAGCACAAAAATATTTCCTTCCACCTCTTTTTCCAGCCCAATATAAAATGTCACTAGCAAGCAGAATATTGTCAGTGGAGATCCTGTCTTTTACAAAACCAGCTTGATTATTTTTAACTATAAGATTCATGGCCGGTTTAAGCCTAGCTGCGATAACTTTAGCTATAATTTTATACAAAACATTACAGAGAGCAATAGGTCTAAAATCAGACCAAGTGGCAGCATTTTTATGTTTGGGGATGATAGCTAGAGCAGTAGCTTTAACCCCATTAGGCATGTAATTCTTATGAAAAAAGGATTTAACCACTCTACAAACTACTGGCCCAATAATGTGCCAACTAGTTTTATAAAAGTGAAAATTGTACCCATCCGGGCCCGGAGCAGAGTTGGATGCCCCCATAAATACTGCTGCCTTGATTTCATCATTCTGAACTTGTGAGACAAAGGTATTAAAATAACTATCAGGTAAAACAGTTCCAGCAGGAAAAACCCCCATATCAGAAATAATAGGGAGAGCTGAATTATACAAGGCTTGATAATACTGAGTGATAGGTAATCACCTCTTCCCTAGACAAGGAAGTATTGCAAGACAGAAGATTCACCACCGAATTAGATCTCGCCTTTCTGCTCCTGATCCTAGAATAGAGATATTTGAGATCGTCTTCCCCAAACTTAAGCCAATTAACCTTTGCCCTTTGAATGATCCAAGAAGCTTGCATATTAGTGAAATTGGCTAAATCAGCATTGCAAGACTTGAATAAAAGTGCAAGCTCAGAGTTGTTGGGATCAGCGTGCAATTTATCCAACAGCGACTTTTGGTTTTCTTGCAAAGAATCTAGATGTCTAGTAATGCAAGAAGAGGAAGCCCACATTTCCTTTTTAATACTAGATTTAAGCAATCTTAAAGAGTTACAGAAATTAGAAATGGGATTGCCAATGCTAGGCAAGGTGAAAGCATCTAAAAGAAGGCACCAGTATTTCTCGAATTTAGTCCAGAAGTTTTTAAATAAGAATCTGTGATGCACCTTAACAGAATTCCCTGAGTGCAGAATGACAGGACTATGATCCGAACAAGAAGGACTTTGAAAAGAGCAATAGGAATCACTGAAAGCATCCATCCAACCTTCATTCACAAGAACACGATCCAATTTGATATGAATGGGATTGTCCAAACGTTGGTTGTACCAAGTATAATTGCACCCCACCGAGTGCAAGTCCAAAAGCCCATTTTGAAAAATCATATTATTGAAGTCAAACAGAGCAGATTGAGTAAGAGGGGAGCCTCCCAGTTTTTCAGATGCATACCTACAACAGTTGAAGTCCCCAATGATCACCCAAGGCAAGGATGACACAGGCCTAACTTGAGCTATATCTCCCCATAACTCCATACGTTCTGTAGAGCTATTAGAAGCATAAATAACAGAAAGCTGAAAAAGAGATTGATTAGCAACCAAGAAAATACCAGAGATAAACTGAGAGGTGATACGGGAAGGGATGAAATCCAGCTTAGTGGCATTCCATTTGATCCAGATTCTCCCAAAATTTGAGAGATCGAAATTGTGACAGCTGGCTTCATTCAAGAAGAGAGAATGAGTGGACTCAAAGAACGGATCACACAAAGCTTGTCCGTGAATCCTATTCTCCAAAATGCAAACCATATCTAATTTAAATGACTCAATAAGCCGCTTACAACACAGAACTTTATCTGGACGATTGAACCCCCTTATGTTCCAGACCGCAAGAGGGGGAAAAAACATTAGGAAGAACGTTGAGGATGGGATTTTTTGGCCTGCTTCCCTTTAGCAGTTTTTTTAGAAGCAACACTAGGAGGTTGCGTTTTCTCTTTGTCAGCCTTTTTGTTTTTATCATCCTTCCCTTCTCCAACTTCCCTCCTAATGTTTACCGCATTAGGTTCAGCTATATAATTAGATTGGTTACTGACTTCTACCTCAGAGTTTAAAACGTCAAACTTGTTGGGAGAAGTATAATCCTTCCCAATAAATGTAGATTTAGATAGAAGAGAAGTAGAAGATGAAGAATCAACTTCATTGAGAGAGTTAAGGTTAGGAACACCCGGGACAAAACTCATCTCATTCTCGGTTATCACCTTCATCAATGTGTAAGCTGTGATAGCATTCAAAGTGGTTTTTTGCGGAGAAGGAGAATGGGGTTGATATTGAAGAGACTGTCCGATGACATTAGAGGGAATAAGCTGCTTCTCAGCTGTAAATTCATGATTGATAATAGGGGGAACGAAGTCTTTCTTATTCGCCACAGGAGGTCTAGAGGAATTTTGAGAGCGAGAGAAAGCCCTATGACGTGGATTTCTGCTGTTACTACGGCCACGGTTCAGCCGCTCTCCCTTATCTTGGTCAAAATTTTCTGAAGCAGGTTTTGACGGGCAATAGGAAGAGAGGTGCATTAGGGACTTACAGTGGTCACAAGGATACGGGCGCCATTCGTATTGAACTTTGAGGCTTACCACATCACCATCCAACGAAACCAAAATCTCCTCCGGGTAGCTGGCCGAATTATCTACCAGAACGCATATCCGAGCAAACGTCAACCGCGTCTTTTGCTCCGTCAAATTAT